AAAACTCCTGAAAAATGTTCAATGCTTTTCTATGGTTTAAAGTAACACCAAGTAACTTTTCCTCTTCGGTCGCCCTACTGGTTGGAAACGAAATTGTCCATTGCCGCTGTCGTAAATAATTTACCAGCACCGACTTTAGAATGAACGATGTCCACAGACAAACTAGATTATGTTACATGATTTCATGAAAGGATGATGTATTGCGACATCAGAAATGAAGAAAAACGAAATAATGACTATTGTAGTGCTTGATGTAAAGCAGTCGAATTTTGTAGTTCTTTTTGTGGTCGGGTTCCTACCCGAACCCTGAAGTTACATAGTGCCAGTAAAAGTGATGCAGACCCCATTAGGCGACGGCAGAAGTGCCTTTCACTCTGTTATGACTTGATGAACCACTAATAAGATTTTGGAAACATTATTTTAAGTAAACAATGTTAGATAGTGTTGTTTTAATGTTAATTATAATTATAATGTTACACTAATTAAAACAATGGGGAAAAAACCCTTAAGATAAGCTGTAAAAAAACCATTTTAAGTACACAGAATAATGTAAGTGGACTTTTTATAATTGTGCCTTTGAACGATTACATAATTGTGGCATCCATAATTGTAATCGCGATTACAAATTCGATTAATTGTGCAGCCCTAATATATATGAAGAGTTCAGATGCAAAAGCCTCTAAATGCCATTTGAAATTTTCTTCTTTAATGATGATTTTTATCAAGCTTGTATATTTAAGTTCAGTAATTTCACTTAAATGGCAATGATAATTACCTATTAATTGTTATTTAAGTGAAATTACTGAACTTGAATATACAAGTTTGACAAAAATCATTATTAAAGAAGAAAATTTCAAATGGCATTTAGAGGCTTTTGCATCTGAACTCTTCATATATTTATATATATATATATATACACTCACCGGCCACTTTATTAGGTACCCCATGCTAGTAACGGGTTGGACCCCCTTTTGCCTTCAGAACTGCCTCAATTCTTCGTGGCATAGATTCAACAAGGTGCTGGAAGCATTCCTCAGGGAGTTTGGTCCATATTGACATGATGGCATCACACAGTTGCCGCAGATTTGTCGGCTGCACATCCATGATGCGAATCTCCCGTTCCACCACATCCCAAAGATGCTCTATTGGATTGAGATCTGGTGACTGTGGAGGCCATTTGAGTACAGCGAACTCATTGTCATGTTCAAGAAACCAGTCTGAGATGATTCCAGCTTTATGACATGGCGCATTATCCTGCTGAAAGTAGCCATCAGAAGTTGGGTACATTGTGGTCATAAAGGGATGGACATGGTCAGCAACAATACTCAGGTAGGCTGTGGCATTGCAAAGATGCTCAATTGGTACCAAGGGGCCCAAAGAGTGCCAAGAAAATATTCCCCACACCATGACACCACCACCACCAGCCTGAACCGTTGATACAAGGCAGGATGGATCCATGCTTTCATGTTGTAGACGCCAAATTCTGACCCTACCATCCGAATGTCGCAGCAGAAATAGAGACTCATCAGACCAGGCAACGTTTTTTCCAATCTTCTATTGTCCAATTTCGATGAGCTTGTGCAAATTGTAGCCTCAGTTTCCTGTTCTTAGCTGAAAGGAGTGGCACCCGGTGTGGTCTTCTGCTGCTGTAGCCCATCTGCCTCAAAGTTCGACGTACTGTGCGTTCAGAGATGCTCTTCTGCCCACCTTGGTTGTAACGGGTGGTTATTTGAGTCACTGTTGCCCTTCTATCAGCTCGAACCAGTCTGGCCATTCTCCTCTGACCTCTGGCATCAACAAGGCATTTCCGCCCACAGAACTGCCGCTCACTGGATGTTTTTTCTTTTTCGGACCATTCTCTGTAAACCCTAGAGATGGTTGTGCGTGAAAATCCCAGTAGATTAGCAGTTTCTGAAATACTCAGACCAGCCCTTCTGGCACCAACAATCATGCCACGTTCAAAGTCACTCAAATCACCTTTCTTCCCCATACTGATGCTCGGTTTGAACTGCAGGAGATTGTCTTGACCATGTCTACATGCCTAAATGCACTGAGTTTCCGCCATGTGATTGGCTGCTTAGAAATTAAGTGTTAACGAGCAGTTGGACAGGTGTACCTAATAAAGTGGCCGGTGAGTGTATATATCCAAATGCTCCACATGAAACTATGGACCGATCTTTTACCATCGTGTCGATTTGATTAATATGTGCAGGGAGAGAGAGCAAGAAGACGCTTTGGAGACGGTGGTGAAGCCTTGTTTAAACTTTTGCCCGGCTCCAAAGAGAAAGAGTGAGTGCGCGCGCTCAGTTGCGCCCTGTCATCCCGCAAACACTGCGTCATGTTCACAGCCATCATGCCAAATATTTTGCAGATAAAATGCAATGTAATAAACATTTTATTTCATTACTATTTTGCAATGAACATTCACCCGCCAGTGGGGCGGATAGCCTTTTGATATACTCGCCAAACGGAAAATCTACCCGCAATGGGCTCCATGCACGGTGAAGGATTAAGGATGCTCGATAACTTCCGCCGATCGTAGAGTCCAATGCAATACCGAGAATTTATATGGAATTTTATACTCCACGGTTATACTTTATACTTTCTTTATTATAAAGAAACGTTAGTCACAAAAACAGATAAAACAGACACCCCTCGTTGTGTTTATGCTTCTTTTTAAAATTATATTAAATAAACATAACTATATATAAAATTACATCTAAACGTATGTACGTTTCGTTTCAAAGACGGGAGGACAGTAAATTTTGAAGACTCTGCCATAAACTCTGCCATAATCCCGTTTTTCTCGGTTCTCCTCCGCTTAAATCTTCACAACCGGAAATGGACGAGCATCCTTGCGTCAAATGCGGAATTTATGCGTGCATATAGCCCATTGGCGCTTTGCGGGTGTTAATTTCGAGCCCGTTCTCATCCCAAAGCGCCATATAGGACGCTTTTGCAAAAGCTTAAATATCCAACGCACATGGCACCCTTTAACGTGAAATGAGACGCAGATATATTTGGGCAGAAGGCGCCCCCTAGTGGTCTAACCCTTACCCTACACCATACCTAAACTTAACCATAACCGAAGCGTCTCATTAGACGTTAAAGGGTGCCATGTGCGTTGGATATTTACGCTTTTGCAAAAGCGTCCTATATGGCGCTTTGGGATGAGAATGCGTTGTAATTTCGGACCCTGTATGGACTAAAGTCTATGCACCTCAGTCTTATATCATGACGTGTCGTGTATGCCTACAAACTACAGTGTGAAAGTCATTGCTGCCTTGTATGTTATGTCTCAATGGGAAAAATGTTCATATTGTGGGGACGTTTTTTTTTTTAACGTCATCAATTAGTTGGGCCGGTGAAAACCACATTAAATCCCAGGGCCGAATTTTGGTCCCAGTCCGGCCCTGAGAAGAAATATACTGTACAGAATTTTCTCAAAAGACAGCTGTCAATGACCAAGGACATCGAATGAGATCACAAGTGGCTTCGAGCGGCTCTGAAATGAGTGAATGTTTGAAAGACTTTCAACATGAACACCTGTCACAAGCTGGAGGTGTGAGGCTTTTACACTGAAGTCCGCTGTATCATGTCCAAATAGAGCAGAGGTAAGCCTGGTGCTCTCTCCCACAGGGCCTGGTTTAACCCTACAGTCTCTGCGGGAGATTTGCTGGTGACGGTTTTCCTGCTGGTGAGTTGTCAAGTAGCCAGCACTTTTGGAAATGCTGTCCTGTTTTATCCTCTACCTCTCGAAACGCACTTTTCAACACCTGGGAAATGGACTGGGCTATTTTTGAAAGCAAAGTGTGGGTGTTGAGCTGCACAACACGTGCACACAGGATCGATTTTGGTCGTTTTGTGAATTATACAACCACTTTTCACAGTGGTCTGAGGTAATTTTTTGTGGCACTCATCGTGTTGCATAACCAAAATTGTCAAAATGTATTTTTTGTGATGCGTTAATGTGTAAATGTATGAAAAACTGTTGATGTTCCTGATACTGAACTGAACAGAGCGCACCGGAGCTGCTGTTGCTATGGTAACGTCCTCACGCCAACAGGACTAGTACACGAGCTTATCTTTGGTGCCAGGTAAAACGATCAGTTCAGACTTTTGCACGAACTTTTAGGGTTTGACTGTGAGTGTGATCTACATTAGATATTTTATTATCAGAAATACACTCACCTAAAGGATTATTAGGAACACCTGTTCAATTTCTCATTAATGCAATTATCTAATCAGCCATTCACATGGCAGTTGCTTCAATGCATTTAGTGGTGTGGTCCTGGTCAAGACAATCTCCTGAACTCCAAACTGAATGTCAGAATGGGAAGAAAGGTGATTTAAGCGATTTTGAGTGTGGCATGGTTGTTGGTGCCAGACGGGCCGCTCTGAGTATTTCACAAAATAGATATTGTGCCAGATCAGTTTGTCTGAATGTAGGTGTTGATGTTCTGGCATTTTAACAGGATTGTCATATGCTAATCCATGATGGAAAAAAAGAGGTATGATTAGAATAGAAAGGAAAGATATTGTTGTCTTGAGATCATTTGTTCCACTAAGAACAAACAGTCCTTCTATTCACTAGCAGTGTGCCTATGTCCTGAGTTTATTTTTGTTTGTAGGTCATGGTAAGCAGCCAAAAATTTAATATTTACTGCGGTGAAAGATGAGGTCAACATTCGAATTTGGGCCAAACAAACATGACCCCCTTTTATATAACCAAATACAATCAAACTTTAAAGAAATACTATATTCTGAAGAAATTGATGGTTGCTAAGGCGTTGCTAGGTGTGCGCTTGGTTACCGACCCAAATCAAAAGAGTCCACCCCAGACTTTTATCACATACACATAAAAATCACAAATCAACAAAATCACTGTTTTTAAAAGATAAATGTTTATTAAGAGATAAAAACTTTTTTTTATTATTTTTCTTGACTTTTTTTTTCTCTTTTTTTGGGTACTGTAAAATCTTGTGTCGATATACACTTGCTTTTTTTTTACTTACAGATATCCTCGAAATAAAAAAATAAAACATTTCTAGTCATTACTTGAAAAAGGTTCTGCATTTAGAAACACTGTCCCCTTTATCTCCTCTTCAAAAATGGAAGGGTTCAAAGAGACGTGCAACAGTGGGAAATCAGTCTCCGTCTTTAAAACACACCCTGAGACTGCAAATTAAATCTCTGTATTGCTAAAGAAATTGTGCCTCTTTCAACATTTACATGTTAATTCGCAGTTAATAAAAGTATCCCAAAGGTACCAAGGTAGAAGCTGTTGAGATCAAATGAGCCTCTCCCTTTGTAATTGGCTACAGTTTTGTTTAACTTGGCCAAGTCAAAAGATAATATTAAAATCCAATAAATTTAATCCATAACATTGGCATAAACCTTAGATTTCAGCTTTAAATTTTAATAAAATATAATGTATAAATTGTCACAGTAAGTAGATCTGCATTGAGTTTTTGGTGTTAATTCAGCACGCCACGTACGGCAGCTTAAATTGGCCCCTGTTCATTGTTTCTGACATATTACAACTGCTCATAAATCATACGCAATTACACACTTCCAAGTACCAACTTTTTTGAAAGACAGGTAAAAACAGGAACAATGCATTTCGTTCTACAAAGTATTGCACATTACAGTTCGCGGCAAGCTTTTTTTCTTCGTCGATTAACAGTTGTGGATGCGATCTATTGAGAATACAGTGATGTTTTTGAATACAAAAGGCAAATGTGATTGGAAATAAAAATAAACAGATTTGATACATACGCAAAACGTAAATTCTACGTGGTTTTAAAGTAATCTTGCCAGGCAGCTTCACATCCCGACCCCTCAAAATAAAAAAAAATTGATATGTTGTCAAATCAGGCGCTAATTTACGAAACGCAAAATCGCAACAAGAAAAAAACGGTAATATCGCAAATAGAATGGAGACGCCCATATTCGCAACTTTGCAACGAAATCGCTCCATTTGAACGCATCTTTAGAAGAGGGAAGAGATACTGTTAAAGAATTAGCATATCCAAAGTATAACTCTTGACGTCGGAAAACGATCTCTTACAAAACATTTAGACTTAAAGGGATAGTTCGCGCAAAAATGAAAATTCGGTTATCGTTAACTGATCGTTGCTTTCTTCAACTGAACAGATATTTAGAAGTTTTTCCGTTTCTTTTCTTTTTTTTTTTCTTTTTTTTTTGCGCAAACTGTCCTTTTAAACTAAGGGAGCACCATTGTGTAGATTCTAGTGTCCTAGGTTGTATAGTGCACTGAAAACAAGCAGGGCTAACGGCTCGATTCTTCCGGACTGCACAATCTCCAGTCTAAACAGTTTGTTGGGACACAACTATCCAGGAACATCACGATGGGCGAGGATGAGGGTGGTATTTTTTAAATCTTTGTACACCAATGTTACTTTTTACGATTCATGTTTACGGAGCCCTTTGTTTTTTTGTTGTCCCCCCTCCCCAATGAATCTTGTCTAAAAATAAGCTCAGCTCAATTTCGATTTTAATATATGTACAAGATAAAAGTTACAAAAATAGAACGGGCATGGTTCTACGTTCATGATACTGCTGGTTGCGATCTGTTCTCTGTCTAATAACAGCGACGATAATAGTAATATAATAGTATTATGATAAAAATATTAAAAATACAGACAGAAAAATGTAACTTCCTCTGTAGAAAAACAAAACAAAACAAGGACTCCTAGTGCAGATGCGTAGCAATGTAAACCTGGTCCTACGACTATGTCAAAAGTTACAGAGTATATTTTAATATATGTATATATAATCACATATATATATATACATATATATATATAATGGAAAAGCAGGTCATTTGAATCCTCTCACAGAGAGCGTTCACATCATAGTTTCTACGATGGTGTGTGTTGGCTTCGTCAAGCCTCCGTTCCAGTTGGGATCCAGCGGCTGCGCCAGCTCGTTGCTCTTGGGCTGGTACTCTGGGGGGCAAGAACTGGCCCCGCCCCTCACGGGGGCCGCCACGGCTTTGATCCTCTGGAGGGACACGGGGAAAGTGACGTTATTGGTCTGTTGGCAGATGTAAAATCTGCGGTTTGTCGTTGGTGCGAGTGACTCACCTCGATGAGGGGTCCATCTGATTGAATGATTTTGATCACAACCACCATAGGTATGCAGATCATGGACGCCAGAGCGAGGGTCCAGCCGACTCCGATGGACCAGTCCGGGTACTCGTAGACTTTGTTGTATCTCAGGGGCGTGTACTTGACCAATGAGAAGATAAAGCATCCCTGGGGCAGGAGAGAAATCAGGGGTTACCACTTCAGACTCCATTCACAAGTACATCTATTACATTCATGTAAGGGGGAATCTCATGAAAACTGTCTAGATCATATTAGAATAAAAAACATTATTAATAAACAATATTTATTTAAATAACATTATTAAAATTATTTTAATTTAGTTTATAATTTAATAAAAAACATACTTTTCTATTTAGTTGATGCATACAAATATTATAAACAGTTTATTATTTTTGAATACAATTATAGATTTTTTTTTAACTATTTAATAAAAAAAGTAAAATAACAAATAAATAGAATGTACATGTTTATTATCATGTACATGGTTTGTACATGATAATAAAAAAATTATATTACTACGGTTATTTATTTGCAATGTATTAATATTGATCATATAATGTATTAATTAAATAACATGGTATTTATTGATTAAATGATAAACAATGCCGTTTAGCCATTTATTTGATTAATACTGATAGATGATTAAAATAAAAAAAAATAGTAGATTTCTTTAGTTATTTTATAATAAACTTAAATAAAATGTAATAATAATAATATTAAATCATTTATTAAATAAACTGTTTATCATTATTTAGCCTCTATAATCAAATCAACAATGAATACCTGTACTATTTATTTAATAACAATACTTGATAACAACTAAATACATATTTTTTTTGTCACCATTTCATAATATAAATTTAATATAATTAATAATAGGTCCTAAAATATGCAAAATTTTTGGTTTGGTTTAAACTTTTGGTTTTGAGGTGAATTCTGATCTAGGTTTTTCTGTGAGATTCATCCTTAAAGTTTAGTCAAAAGTCAAGAAAAGTTTGACAGCACTAATATATATATATATATATATATATATATATATATTAGTGCTGTCAAACGGTTAAAAATCACGATTAATTTAATTTGAATTTAATCGCGATTAGTCGCATTAATGTCATAGTTAACTCGCGATTAATCGCACATTTTTATCTATTCTAAATGTCTCTTGATTTCTTTTTGTCCTATTATTTTTTCTCATTTTAATGCTCTTATCAACATGGAAAAGTGGATCGGCTTGCTTTATGCAAATGTTTTTTTATTGAAAACAACATTGGCATATACTGTGTTCAATTTCACACTAGCATTCTCATTTTGAGCTCACACTGTCCATCAATAAAAAGGTGAAAGAAATACTATATATATATATATATATATATATATATATATATATATATATAGTATTTCTTTATATAGTAATATACTCTTGCATGATTGGAATTATATATGAAGAGTTCAGATGCAAAAGCCTCTAAGTGCCATTTGAAATTTTCTTCTTTAATGATGATTTTTATCAAACTTGTATATTTAAGTTCAGTAATTTCACTTAAATAACAATTAATAGGTAATTATCATTGCCATTTAAGTGAAATCACTGAACTTAAATATACAAGCTTGATAAAAATGATCATTCTAGAAGAAAATTTCAAATGGCATTTAGAGGCTTTTGCATCTGAACTCTTCATATATATATATATAATTCCAATCATGCAAGAGTCCACCAAATATCCAACAGGTTATTACCGGTCAAAAGAGCAATATAATTTAAGAAAGTCTTTAAAACCTTTATGACTGCACATAAGGAAGGGATTTCTTTTTTTCCTTATAGTCCTATAATGTTCATAGAAAAACTACATTCATGATCTCATGGAAACTAATCCTGCACTCGTCCTCAGCTCCTTCATTCATCCTGTTGGCCAGGCAGATGGTCACCCCATCTGGAGCGCTCTTACAGTGAGATGCGAGCCGGATTTTTGCAGCAAATCCAAAGCGGAAAAGCAGTATTTGCATGTGTAGCCGTAGGGGGAGGGTAGAAAAGCACACAATCTCCAATCGAACTGTATAAGACACTCTTTCATAGGTTCTTTCAATGCATCATTTTAAGTGTGTAGTGGGCCTGAGATGTGTGAATGTGCATTTCTTACTGTATCTATAAATATGCTATAAACTACCAAGTTAGCCTGTTTTAAGGACCTTTTCTCTGTAGAGAACTTACCACACACAGAAAAGGTGTAATTACAGTCCAACTCCACTTCATCCAGGGATTTGGTCTGTAACCAATCATCTCTTCAATCGCATCATAGAAATTATCAGCACCTTTTGAAAAGAAGGAGTGTGTTCAGGTATGAAATTCACAAGCATTAACACATGATCCTACAGTGCACATAGACTGGAACTAAGTTACGGCATTGTTTGAGATGGGAATTACATTAGTAGCTTATCAATTAGTTGTCTTGTTTTGGCTTGGCTGGGAAAAAAACATGTTTTTTTTTAACCGTAATTTGTGCAAACAGTGCAGTATGTTATTTGGAAAATCCTGTTTTTTTAATTTATTTAACCTTTATTTAACCAGGAAAAGTCCCACTGATTTACAGTAACTCTACTCCCAGGGAGTCCTGGCCAAGATATAGTATAAGATATATGCATAGTAAATAATATCAGTATTTGAACCTGAATCTACAGGCATGCTGGGTTTAATCCACCTTAGAATTAGCAGCTCTATTATATCAAGGGAAGCTGGCATGTGCTGACACATTCATGACACATTTAGATTTTGAAATCAAGGTCATGACAGTAGCGAACAAAAGACTTTATTGAGGCTTTCTCAGAACTAGGTTAAACTGTTGGACTGATTTGGGCAATAAATGATTTGCTCTGATTGATCCAAAGTCTGTTTAAACAGCGATCCACACCTCAGAAATTCACAATCATTTACTTCATAAAAGAAAGAAGTTTGTCCACAATAAGGCCTTTGTTGAGAACTCATTTAAACTAAGAAATAATGTTTAAAGGAGTAGTTCACTTTAAAAAAAAAAAACTTTTGCTGATAATTTACTCACCCCCATGTCCATGTCATCCAAGATGTCCATGTCTTTCTTTCTTCAGTCGAAAAGAAATTAAGGTTTTGATGAAAACCTTCCAGGATTTTTCTCCATATAATGGACTTCAATGGGAACCAAACGGTTCAAGGTCCAAAAGACAGTTTCAGTGCAAACTGCTCAAAGGGCTTTAAACGATTTCAGACGATGAATAAGGGTCTTATCAAGCGAAACGATCGCTCATTTAAAAAAAAAATAAAGTTTAAGTTTTAAAAGCTCAAATGCTCGCCTTGCTCTGTTCGAACAGGAGAGTCATGAACGCACATCACAGAACAGAGCAAGGTGAACATTTGAGCTTATAAAACTTAAACTTTTTTTTTTTTAAATGAGCGATCGTTTCGCTTGATAAGTCTGGAATAATTTAAAGCCCTTTGAACAGTTTGCAGTTTGCACTTAAACTGTTTTTTGGACCCTGAACTGTTGAAGTCCATTACATGGAGAAAATCCTGGAAAGTTTTCATCAAAAACCTTAATTTCTTTTCGACTGAAGAAAGAAAGACATGGACATCTTGGATGACATGGGGGTGAGTAAATTATCAGCAAAAGTTTTTTTAAAAGTTAACTACTCCTTTGAGTCAATTTTGAGCAGTTTTTTTACAAACAGTCAGTGAGTGAAGGTGTTTAACCATAATAATGAACAAAAATCTTAAAGGTGCAGTATGTTAGAATGACTAGTGGTTGAAATAGGTACTGCAGTCGAATTCAAAATATCGGAAATCGTAGTTTCTCCCGCCAACTGCTCCCCAGTTTGAGCACACGCAACAGGAACGAGCGCAATGGACAATGGAAATTGCCATATTGGAAACATGCAGCATCACGCAACAAAACAATAACAAACATTCCAGCCTGGAAACGCACATTTCAATGTAAAATAACTGGTATGTGAGTAGAGTGAAAAAGAGTGAAAAAGTTACATACAGCACCTTTAAGTTAAAAGTCCATTGGGTAACAGGGTTGTGAATTTAGTTTAAATTAGCAACCCAGCTAGCTAGGGGTCAAATGTTGATAAATGCTATTTCCTATTAAAATAGTTTGAATTTCCTCTTAACCTCGCAAACAGGGTTTAATGGCTAAACGAATGAAGACAACATTCATTTCCTTAAAAATCGAGAAAACGGCGTGAGATCATATTGTAGAAAGGTTGCGAATGAGTTTTACTTTATCGTAATATTTTTAAAGATATTTATTTCTAATGAGGGAAAATCATGGAGTAACAGGGTTGCAGATTTAGCCTAAATTAATATTTTAATCAGTAGTGGCGAGCTTGTTAGGGGGTCAATTTTTGATTTGAAGATATTGATATACATAATTGTTTGAGCTTTATTTTCGTACAATAACTTTGGTAACAAAGAAGAATGAAGTCAAGTAACAGGATTGAACACAAAATGTGGGATACAACCAAATCTTATGTTTTTAACAACAGTAACAGGATTTATTGTTTTAAAATATTTATGGCACACTAATTTGTACTCCAATCATGGGAAGTGCTTGCTACAGTTCACCATTATGACTTACATTTTCTGTTCACTTGTTGTACTCACCATAAACCCAGGCTACAGCAATACATTCAAAGAATGCAACCCATAAAAGGCACACGCCACTGGCTGCATAGTAGTCAAAGAGTTGAAACACATACATGCCACCCTGAAAAAGAGACAAAAAACTGTTGAAAAAAAGTGAGTAGGCACTAATACATGTTGTAATTGCAAAGCTGACATAATAGAGGACTGTTATGACCAGGGGTTGGCTAAACACTTGACTTGTTTTCTTTTGGTAACAAAGACATTTGTTGCACAATGCATTCAGGGGTGACATAAGACATTATGTCATGGAAAAAAAAAAACAAAAAAAAAACGGGACACTGTGTGGCTCAAGCCACAGAATAGCATTCCCAGTTCGCTGTTCTGGGGGATTAACAATCAGGGGCCGATGTTTGAAGGGGGCCAGAGGAATCTTAGATGTGCATTGTCATACCAGACCAGATCTCCTAGTATAGCAGTGAGACTCCTCTATTGAATTCTCACTGTTCAAAGAAGGTCAGGCCGTCCATAAAAACACATGGAAGTGGGAGCGAAAAGGCACTATTGGGAGGTGCAACTGATTTCATCAAGTACAGCATGTTCCTAGATCAACATCTTTGTTGATCCTGGAACAACATTCCAATTAACCAATCAGATTGGGGGGATAATTTACAGTTTATGCCAAGTTTAGGCTTCCAGCCAAGGTTAGATGCATCAACATCAGTGTTATTCACCTACCATTTCCCTCTGATTTTAGGGTTAGGGACTAAGTTTTTAGACAGCAATGTTGTTCAAGGATCAACAAAATATGAACAAAATCACAGTGATCCTGCTAGGTGTGGAAGACTCTTCCTTATGGGAGAGAGCTTAGGCAGTAGATGTGGCCTTCATCCTGATTACAGGAACTGAGTGTTTGGTTGAGGGCCACATACTATCAAATGACAATGTCACTAAAATCCTAAAGGGAAAACACATGGTGCCTGACCATTAAACTAAGCTTCATTTGATATACTCTTTATTTAGCCAGGAGATACCAGCTGGTCCAATGTGTCGGCAAAGTGGTAAAGACTAGAATTAGTACGGTTTTGGATGGGAAATATATGGAAGTTTGTTTCCGCCACAGAATGAAAAATAAAAAAGATAATTGCGACTTTTTATCTCACAATTCTGACTTTATATCTCGCAATTCTGAGAAATAAAGTCACAATTGCGAGATATAAAGTCACAATTGCAAAATATAAAAGTCCGAATTGCTTGATATACAGTTACAATTGCGTGTTATAGTCAGAATTGCGAGATATAAAGAAAGAATTGCGAGACATAAAGAAAGAATTGCTAGCTATAAAGTCGCAATTGCGAGATATAAAGTCAGAATTGCGAGATTTAAACTATTCTGAGGGGGAAAAAAGTTTTTTTTCTCCTTAGAATTGGCCTGATAAGTCACAATTGTGAGTTTATATCTCACAATTCTGAGAAAATAAATATGTCAGAATTTTGACATATAAACTCGCAATTATGTGTTGTAAAGTCAGAATTGCGAGATGTAAACTCGCAATTGTGAGAAGAAAGTCAGAATTGTGAGATAAAAAGTCGCACTTCTGTCTTTTTCTCAGAATTTCTCGCAATTCTGACTTTTTATCTCGCAATTCTGACTTTACATCTCGCAATTCTGACTTTATATCTCGCAATTCTGACTTTATATATCCCGCAATTGCGACTTTATTTCTCACAATTGTAACTATATCTCGCAATTATGAGTTTAGATCTCGCAATTCTGACTTTATATCTCTCAATTCTGACTTTATATCTCGCAATTCTGAGTTTATATCTCGCAATTCTGAGTTTATATCTCGAAATTCTGACTTTATATCTCACAATTCTGACTTTATATCTCTCAATTCTGTCTTCATATCTCACAATTCTGACTTCATATCTCACAATTCTGACTTTATATCTCGCAATTACGACTTTATTTCTCACAATTCTGACTTTATATCTCGCGATTCTGACTTTATATCTCACAATTCTGACTTTATATCACGCAATTCCGACTTTATATCTCGCAATTCTGACTTTATATTTTGCAATTCTGACTATTTCTCACAATTCTGACTATATATCTCGCAATTCTGACTTTATATCTCACGATTCTGACTTTTTATCTTGCGATTCTGACTTTATATCTCGCAATTGCGACTTTATTTCTCACAATTCTGACTATATCTCACAATTCTGACTTTATATCACGCAATTCCTACTTTATATCTCGCAATTTTGACTTTATATATCGCAATTATGACTTTATATCTCGCAATTCTGACTATTTCTCACAATTCTGACTTTATATCTCGCAATTCTGACTTTATATCTCACGATTCTGACTTTTTATCTCACGATTCTGACTTTATATCTCGCGATTCTGACTTTATATCTCGCAATTCCGACTTTATATCTCGCAATTCTGACTATATCTCGCAATTGCAACTTTTTCTCACAATTCTGACTTAATATCTCACAATAGTGAGATAAAAAGTTGCAATTATGTTTTTATTTATTTTATTCAGTGGCGGAAACAAGCTTCCATAGAAATGCGCCATTAAAAGGTGTAAAAAAAAAGATTGTTCGACTGTTGTACTTACCTCGGTGACCATGGTAAGTCCCAACAGGTAGCTCAAAAAACAGACTATAGCTATGAAGATTTCACGCCGATAACCCTTCCGTAGGAAGGATGGATACAGATCCACTAGGGATGTGATCTGCCCTTCCACTTCGACAAACTGAGAAAAGAAAAGAAACACTGTTAGTACAAACAGGCTTGCTGTGTGCAGACTCAAGCTGAAAAGGCAACAATTCCATATATTTTGATGATTTACCAAGTGAAAATGAAGTAATGAATAAGCTGTGACATGTTTTGTAATCATAAACCCAAGTTTGTGGCTTTCTTGACTATTCTCATTTTTTCCAGTAAAACTGCTCTCTCAGTATCATGGTTTTGCTAGGCTAGTCTAAAAGGCTATTTGCTGTAATATCCAACTCCATCTGATCGTTCCGTTTCAGTTTAAATGGTCTATAAAGTTGTACTGTACTGTAGTGAAAGGCATCTATTTCTTTCAGTAGAACTGGACATAGAAACCCCTGAGCACAGCTTGAATGGACATTATTTTCGATAAGCATACTTAATTTAACAGTCCAAGCGCCACACCTTGGTTTGTGGGCTCCCAGGATGTGGATGGACACTGATTTAGCAGAGTGTTTAATTTCACTGGGACCAAGAAATATGATAGTACAGGACTCCAACTGCTGTATGGCGAATAATCTGCCAACAAAACTTTTTCTTTTTTTTCCTTTTCTGTTTGTTAACAGGTTTTCTTGGGCAGGGGCATAGCCGGTGAGAGGGACAAAAAAAAAAAAAAATCAAGTGTAACACCATTTTATTCTGACCATTGTCTAATTGAAAGTTTCTGTTTTTATCTCTTGCTTTTAATTGGCTAAGAAATTAAATGCTTAACAATATGAATGAAATATGAGTGTTTAGGGCTCCATAATGCTTACATAGCCTTGTTTTGTATAAGAATAAAATGTCAGTTCATGTGTTTTTGAATTTAAATCGGGATGAAATTACGTTTTATTGAAAGTGCGGGGGACAAAATGTTCACAGCGTCTGGCTGTCCACCCTGTAAACTAGTGGTACTCAAGCTGTTTGGCATACCATTTTATTCATTTGACACTCACCTGACTGTCGAGGCCCAACAGCAGAAGCATGATGAAGAAAAGAATGGCCCAAAACGTAGGCAGTGGCATCATAGACACGGCTTTAGGGTAAGCAATGAAGGCCAAGCCAGGACCTATTGGGAAGAGAACAGAGGGAGGTGGGGAAGTGGAGAGAACACAATTAGTAAGGCTAGTTATTTGCACACTTTGATCTATGCCTTAGCGGTGCGTTTCGTTGTCGGCACAGACCAAAAGGAGACATGAAAGAAAAAAGGAGCGAGTGTCTACAGGACAAAGCGATCAAGCCAGGCAAAATTACTGCCGGTGGTTCGTTGAAAGTCCAATGACCGTTTCATTGCATCTTCCGGCAAAATTAGCATATTGATGTTAACTTCGGCTGCTTCCAAATCTAGAAAAGGTTTAAATCAGCAGCGTGATATTTCCCCTGTATAACACCACAGGTTACATATTTAACACTACATAGAACAACTTCACAGAGTCGAGGCAAAATACAAACTAGGGGTGTGCCCAAAGCGAATGTCGAATCAGGAAAGGCACGGAAAAGGAATAACGCATTGTAGGGAGCCTATAAATGGACATGGTTAGGCTTGCTGTTGTAGTCAGTAACATTACAGTACATCAGAAATCCCTTGTGAAGATAGTAAGGAGAGATGACTGACAGGAAAATGGCAAAGGATTTGGTGCACAACAGATCCTGAAAAATATCTTGTAAAAATCTGTCCCGGCGCTCCCTATAAACAAAAGTATGCATGGCCACGGATTCGAAGCATGCATTCAAAAGCGATTTGAATACCCAACATTATATACAATATAATTTCCCAACTATATAATTGTGAGACAATGCAAAAGCATTGAAATCAATTTTTTTCAATCAACAAATCAATTTAAAATCAACTTTCATCTCATATTTTCCTTCACCATGTCCCTTTAGAGGCTCTGTAGAATCCGTTATCTCCTTTCCAAAATAAGAATTCAACTTCGGGCACATCCCCAATACAAACACCTCCACTTGCTAGCATACTGCAACATCAAATGTAGGATTCAATCCGTTCAACATTGGTTAAATACAAGAACAAGCACAATGCATATAATAAAACCAAAGAACAAATGGATCAAAATAGCATAGCATCAATGTCAAAGTACACTTTCTGCAGAGTCAGGTTGATGCATCAGAGACAGACCTCCCCAAAATTGACTTCTCTTTTGCAAAAAGCTCCTTTTAGCTTCTTGGCATTTGTAATGTTTAGAAATGTCTCCAACCAAATAATCCTGAAAGACTCCCTGATACGGATCCTGTGGCTTCGTTCAACCTTAATTGTGCTGATATGCACTGAAGTTCAAGTAAAGTTTAGGTTTGTATGTCTTATAAACAAAGTGATAAAGACGTATGTTTTGTGCACCTCGCTCGAGCCAGACATACTTAAACCAATGTCTCCACAGAGGAGGGCCAAAGCAGGAACAGCGAAGATTAGACATTTGGAAAACCTTGAGCTTGAAAGCAAACTACACATCAACTGATCTCTCTCACCAGGAGACTTGCTGCATCTTAATACAGCATGAAAAATGCAAAACAATTATGAGAAATGCACTAGATGGCCAAAATTATGTAGAAACCGGAACATCTCGCCCATATGCACTTGTTGAACATTTACTTTCAAAACCATGAGCGTTACTATAATAAGCTTCCACTCTTCTGGGAAGGTATTCCAGTAGATGTTTGCACAGAGATTTGCTCCCATTCACCAGTGAGGTCAGGCACTGATGGTGGGTGATGAGGTCTGGCTCACAGTCGAGGTTCCAGTACATCCAAAAGGTGCTCGATGAGGTTCAGGTCTGGGCTTTGTGCATGGCAGTCAAGTCCTTCCACACCTGACTCAGTAAAACATTCTTTCTTAAGGAGATTGCATGGTTGTATGCTTTCTAGGCACCTTATAGTGAGTAAAGGGTGTAGCCGAAATAGCCAAACCCATAAATTAGACGAAGGTGTACACATACTTTTGGCCATGTAGTGTAGTGTCCAGGCCCCAGGGTAGAAAAGGGAACCAATAGGAACTGACTTAGCGACCTTAATTAAACTGCGTAGAGTTCTTTAGGACTTAAACCCAAACTCTCCAAAAAGCCTGTTGTAAATTGCCTTTATCCTGAACTTGGCACAAGATGCTTCTTGATTAGGGCCACCTGTGGAAACCAACTGTACAGCGATCACTGCTAAACCAGTGCTTTTTCACGCAACTGTTGATTCTTCACCATTAGTGGAGGAATAGGGCTTAAACAAGTTCCCAGTGGCTCCAAGAACGTTCTCCATACAGTTCTACAGTCGATTCCAAGCGAATTCCAGTTCCCACCGAGAGACCGTATTAATTCGTATTTGTTTTTTTGTCTGCTCAATGACGGCGAAGGTTCCGAATGCTATACTTTCTTTTTAGTCCTAGGTCCTGGAACTAGTTTAATTGGCTCCGAATCGCTTGTTGTCGCCGATTTTTCACTACAGGGTTGACCAAACTTTTTCATGTTGTTATTTGCAGCAGCAGTGCCCACCATCACTGCTACTTGACCCTCGTACCTGACTCTGCCACATCGGCTATGTCCACCCCTTGCTCTTGTGCCATGAAGCCCAGGACGGAAAATATTGCGAAGCCAGACACAAAACTGGTAGCGCTGTTCAGGCCTCCCAGCAGCAAACAGTCCCTATGTCACACATATGTCATGGAGTTTGTTAATTAACACAAAGGTACCCTACGTTCCCACTTTGCCCGTTCCCTGGACTAAGCCTCCCACCCGCCCCGGGGCATCGAAACCCACCTGTAGCAGTTGTATTTGTACTTGTTGTAGCTTCCCAGTGACGTCATGGCTCCAAGACAGATGGCGTAGGAAAAGAAAATCTGTGTCCCTGCATCGATCCACACCTAGACAGAAGACGCCAAATCATCCGTTGACTGACAACATGAATTGACCAAACTCAAATATTTGCATGCGTTCTGCCTCTCGTAGGTCCTCAAGAACTGTATACACCATCAAGACCTAATCTAAATTGTTTCAACTGCATGTCATGTTTAGATTTGTAGCTTTCTGACTGAGGCCATCAAGAGCTTTATTTATGTTGACTCTTGGGTTTCTCTCTGTAAACTGTACATCCAAAGTTTACTCTGGTTTTAAGTTGCGGATGGTCACTGGAGTACATTATGTCGGGAAGAGTAAACAGCACTTTCCTTGCTTAATAGTTCATCTCAGAGGGCTGATTTATATTGGTTAATGTTAATTTTGTAGCTGCTGGACTAGCATAGCATGTTGTTCTCCTAGCTTTTGAATTTGGTCTACCAACAGTTGGTCTTTCTGTTGAAGCTTTAGTAGTCTTTTTTGGCCTGATTGGGACCAGTGTCCAAAACATTTGATAGTCATAAAGACCAAATAGATGTGTTAGAGGCACTTGAGATTGTGTGAAATCTTATTCCGAGAATTATTATTTGAGAAGACATGTAAATCGCTACGAGATCTTACCTCTGGGTCTCCAAGGCGAGTCAAATTTGGGTACAGATAAAATTTGATGCCCTCGGCTGCCCCAGGAAGAGTGACACCACGGACAAGCAGGACAATTAACATGACAAACGGGAATGTTGCCGTGACGTACACAACCTAAGCAGAAAAGTCAAGAACACCGAGGTTAAATTTAATGCAAAGGTCGTATTAAAAACCCACAAGTTTTATTTGTGATTAAACAATTTAGAAAACTACAGCAAAACTTTTTCCACTGGGTCTTTATAAGCCCTGTCACACTTTCCAACATTCTAAGATAACACTTTCAAAACCATTTCCAAGGCTAACATGCAATTTACAGCTTAACTTCAGTAACAGATAAATATTGGCTTTAGTGGCCAGAGTGGTCATGCTTTTTGGTCAGAGGGTGAGTTCTAGATGGGAGAAAACCCTCATTTAATGTTTGGTTTGGCTAGAAATGTTACGACACACAATGCCGAAGAGTACATCAAAACATTAAAACCTGCAATAATATTTAAAATTGGATTGCTCTCAAGCCTAATACCTAATTCACAAAAAATGTATAATTTTATATCAATAACTGACAGTAATCTTTCACTTGCCACATTTAATGAAGCCAAGTACAAATTACAAAAAAAACCAAAATGGCTTAAAGTGAAGTAAAGTAGTCTATAAAGATAAGTTCACAATGCCCAATTCCAAAAACCAAATTCCATTGGTTATTAGCTCTCTAAAATCCATCAGCCAACTTGAAATTTTGCCACTAGTTGAGGCAGCATGAACCAGCCTATCATTTGCATTGCGATAGAGTAATCTAATATGACAGTGTCTTGGCAGAAGTCATGATAAGATTCTCAACTGCATGGTCAAGGGGAACGTCTGTCCAAGTCAAGAGAAGGTGTCATCTGATTGACTTTACAGTCTCTATTAGGAATGAGGTAAGCTATAGTTACCATTGCTGCTAATCTCCAGGGAATGACTGCTATGCTTATGTTCACAACACTGACTAAGGTAGCACTCAAATCTACCAAGCTACTTATAACTCCAATGACACTGTAGAAACTAATATTAGAAGGCCTTAAATTAACTGGCTGAATTTGAAAAATTCATGTAACCAAGCTCACCTTCCCAGTGGACTTAACACCTTTCCAGATACAGAAGAAGCAGATGACCCACACAGCGAGTAGACACAGAGCCAGGTCCCATTTAACATGACCCACGTCCTCGATACCATCGGAGATGCTGAGGACATTTCGCCTGTGGTAGCAAGAATATTTGCCAGTGAGACTCTCTGACGCCCTTGAGGTTGTTTAAGGAGCTAGCATTTAAATAATCAGAGAAGTTATACAATACGCAAAGGACAGATGAGTTTTCTACAGAGGAAGAAGTGTTTAAGAACCAGTCAGAACAAGTCATCATAGAGCCTAAATACTAAATCCTAAATACCTTGATTAGATGTTTAGGTGTGTTTGAGCTAAACTCTACAGGATTGTAGCATAGTTGGATACATCTACCATAGAGCAGTGTTTCTCAAGGACCCCAAACATGGCAAATCTTGCAAGTCTTCTCTGTCTGACGTACCCATTTCAGGTTTTTGAGTTTCTTCTAATGTGCTTATGAGTTGAATTAGGTGTGTTTGATTAGGGAAACACATACAATGTGCAGTATTGGGGGTCCTCCAGGATCAGGGTTGAGAAAACCTGCCATAGAGTACTAATACCACCACTAGCTTCTGTTAAATCAGGGGAGTCCAATCTAGAGAGCCACCATCCTGTAGAGTTTAGCTTAAACCTGCTCCATCACACCATTCTGGAAAATTATTGGGCATATTTGTGTTTAATTGTGGTTGGATCCATGAAGATAGCTAAAATCTTTATTAATTTATGATATCTGCAAAACATTCATGTTGGTTCTGTTCGGTTTACCCTTAGGGGGGTTATTGCTGCTCTCCATGCTCTTATCCATGGATGCACAGGTAGTTCTTGCCCAGAACAGAACTATACCGCCAATCCTTACTATATGCTAATTGTCGATAGAGGTCCTGACAGAATTACAGGCAGGGAAGTTTGATTAGGGAAAGAGCTAAGCTTTGCAAGACAACGTTGCCCATCATTGGTTTAGACCCTTCAGCATTAACACCTTGTCTACCACAGGGATATTCATCCCTGCTCCTCAAGACCCACTGTCCAGTCACACACACAAGCTAACCAAAGTGTGTGGGATTTCTTTGGGGTAAAATTAAAGCCAGTAGTGTTGGAGCAGGATTGAATCTAAAATCTGCAGTGAATCTCCAGTATCAGGGTCGAACACCCGTAATCTATGGCATTAAGCATGTTGCAAGTTCCATAAGATAGGTATTTATATTGAGAATGACACTAAGAGGGGAATTGAGCTCCAAAGTCTTGGAGAGCGATTGAGGACAACAGTATGGATAAATATACGGAGGGAATCTCTACATTTGGATGGCTTTCAAAGTGCACAGCAAATTTGTACTCAATACTTACTCCCAGAACTCAGTGACGGGAGAAGTGAAGTTAGTGGCATTCACAGCACCCCAGAGTGTCTTGTTCTTGCGGAGAGTATCCTCAATGCAATTTTCTGTGTTCCATTTGTTGTTGCAGCTTGCCCAGGGGAGCTCTGGCTGAAAGCACTGGAACAGGTAGTACAAACCCCATGCCAGAATCACAATGTAGTAGATGTTCAGCAGAGAAACGATCACGATGGACGCGTAGCCAATACCTGTACAAAGACAGAAATGGCAAAATTAAGCTGATGGCACACTGGACTGACTCAGCATGTGGTAGTTATGCAAAATGTTTGCGATTTGCTATGATAACCTTAATGAAAGCAACAAAAGCAGTTGTGCTCCAATGGAGCGTGGGAATGGCTAAATAAGTGAAGAACTTCTATGAGACCTTCTTGTATAAACATGAAATAATCTTGTCCAGAGTTGGAGGAAAGTGTTGTAAGACATTGGTTCAGAGTCTGAACTGAGTAAATCAATGTTGGTCAGGTTGACTGGAAACCAAAACCGACCAAAGCAGTCACCTCCTTCACTGGCCGATGGATGTGAGTAGTTCGGCAGTTTGCATGGAATGATTGCTCACTGGTAAACTCTGTTTAAATAAGTAATGAATCTATGGTCAGAAGTCATTTTTGTGATTTTAAATATACTATTTGTAAGAAAATGTAGCTGAACAGTTCCTCTGACTCTGGGTTTTGGTGCCTCTTTTAAGTTACTCTAGTGACTTGTTTGTGGGGCTCGAACCAACAACCTTCTGATCGTAAGACTCCAGCTTTAGCCACTACACCACACAAGCTGAAGAGTTGTCCACTTATACAAGCTACTGTTCATGAGCAGCTGGCCTTCTTAGCCAATAAATTGATTGACAGCTGCTGATGTGTCTCTGCTACTAGTCAGACTGAAAATGAAACTACTACTGGTCCCTAGAGTAGTAAGAAGACAGGCCACAATTAGACAGCTGACATTAAAATACACCAACAAGACTATACAATTTCAATGTGGCAATGACGTTTATCAAGTCCAGACATAACTTTATTGGTCCATGTCAATGTTACAGCAAATATAGGTGTCCAATTTCATAGCACGGGTGTCCTTTCACTTAACATGATCTACTTTGGTCTTTGAACCAAAAACGATTGCTATTAGCTATGGAAAACGTATGTGATATACCTGTATAATGAGCTGTGAGTCAAATGCTCAAATGAACATGATTGTTTATTGGTTACATTTAAATGTAAAAATCTTCAAAGATACGCAGATTTTTAGGAATTTACTAGTCCTAATTGTTTTAAAGAAATGATTCTTGTCAGTGGCTGTGAGAAGTGAGGAGGATAGGGTTAACCCTAACTGCTATTTTTGTATATATTCTTCTCTGCTCTGGCATTGGAGATATGTATTTCCTATCAGTCACCCCAGATACAGCTGGTGGTATCTGTAACTCACACCCAACTGTCCTTACAAGGGGTCAGGGTGGTTGGCATTGCCTCAATTGCCCCTTCTGGTAGATGGCATAACTTCGCCATCTGGCAGCAAAAATGTATTTTTCTCCATTGAGAACCATTAAATATACTACTGAAAGATCTCTTTGATCTTTACCACAAATTATTATATTTTATGTTTCTGAAGTATTCATTGCTCACTTTTAGTAGAGACATACATAAACTGCTTACAATATTTTTAATTGTACTATTAGTTTTTATGTATTCTCTGGTAAAGAAATCAAGAAGTTTCTTGATCAAGAAACTCACCTGTAAATATGGGGCAAAGTTTTTCCCAACAGGTGATCCCACCCTCAGAGGTGAACTGGCCGAGTGCCACCTCCAGGAAGAACACAGGCAGTCCTCCACCGAACAGGAAAATGAAGTATGGGATGAGAAAAGCACCTAAATGGAAGATAGATTCACCAAGAGAAATTCACTTAATTCAGTCAATTATTAGATTCTATTAACCACTAGTTTAGTGTTTAACTCTTTCTCATCATTGAGTTCAGACTCGTCCACACGTTTTGCTGCCGATTTTGCAGGTTTTCGCACTTACAAAGCATGTAGAAGTCTGTAATTATTATCATAGGAACTCTTCAACTGTGAGTGACGGAATCTAAAACAAAAATCCAGAAAATCACATTGTATGATTTTTAAGTAGTTCATTTGCATTTTATTGCATGACATAACTATTTGATCACCTACCAACCAGTAAGAATTACGGCTCTCGCAGACCTGTTAAGAAGCCCTCCTGTTCTCCACTGAGAGAGCTGTGTAAGGACATCAGGGATAAAATTGTAGACTAGCACAAGGCTGGGATGGGCTACAGGACAATAGGCAAGCAGCTTGGTGAAAAGGCAACAACAGTTGGCGCAATAATTAGAAAATGGAATAAGGTCAATCTCCCTTGGTCTGGGGCTCCATGCAAGATCTCACCTCATGAGGCATCAATGATCATGAGGAAGGTGAGGGATCAGCCCAGAACTACATGCCAGGACCAGGTCAATGACTTGAAGAGAGCTGGGACCACAGTTTTCAAAGAAAACCATTAGTAACACTACGCCGTCAAGGATTAAAATCCTGTAGTGTATGCAAGGTCCCCCTGCTCAAGCCAGGGCATGTCCAGGCCTGTCTGAAGTTTGTCAATGACCATCTGGATAATCCAGAGGAGGAATGGGAGAATGTCATGTGGTCTGATGAGACAAAAATAGAGCTTTTTGGTCTGAACTCCACTCTCCGTGTTTAGAGGAAGAAGAAAGATGAGTACAACCCCAAGAACACCATCCCAACCATGAAGCATGAAGGTGGAAACATCATTCTTTGGGGAGGCTTTTCTGCAAAGGGGATAGGACGACTGCACGGTATTGAGGGGAGGATGGATGGGGCCATGTATCGTGAGAGTGGAGTGGCTCCGTAAGAAGCATATCAAGGTCCTGGAGTGGCCTATCCAGTCTCCAGACCTGAACCCAACAGAGAATCTTTAGAGGGAGCTGAAAGTCGTATTGCCCAACGACAGCCCTGAAACCTGAAGGATCTGGAGAAGGTCTGAATGGCGGAGTGGGCCAAAATCCCTGCTGCAGTGTGTGCAAACCTGGTCAAGAACTACAGGAAATGTATGATCTCTGTTATTCCAAACAAAGGTTTCTGTACCAAATATTAAAGAGGTCATGAACTGGCTTTTAAAATTTTATTATATTGTTGTCTGAGGTCAACTTATGACATTCGCTTGGTTTTTGCTTTTAAAAACGTCAAGCTCTCTGGTCTTGGCCATTGTGGAGTTAATACAGGTAATAAGTGAAGAACAGGAGGGCTTCTTAAAGAGAAATGAATAAGTAATAGGCTATTTTCTACCCTAGTTTTGAGCCTAGCTGAAAAACGCTCAGTTTTTATGGGCTTCTCGCACTGAAGACTTGGAAGTGAACGCCCACTGCTGTGAGTGGATAACAGTTTTGCATATTATAATGAGTTTCAACTCACCCGTCGATGCACTTGGGGGAAATTGTTCTGAAAACGTCCAATGTTGTAAAATGGCAACCGGAATGATTCGCCATACATGTTCGACCCAGAGTCCGTGTGTTACACAATTCCTGTCAGGTCCAATATAGACGGCACAGCACCGTTCTTTACTCTTAATCGGTCTGCAAATCCAGTCTTGTTTACAAAACAATCCTCAATGAAATGAAGCGAACAGATGGTTTTATCCTCATCAGCTGGAACGTCAATTAAATTTTATCCATGCAGTCCTATTGGAATACAGAGGAAGCTTATGCAGCGACTGTCTTCTTCCACAACCAGGCACTGCACAATATTTTGTATTGCTCGGTAGCTCGACTCAGTTTGTCGTCATTGAGGTAGGCATCTATGTTATTTGGCTATGCGTGTAAAGCACGAATCAGTGGGCGGGGCCGTGTTGTAGGCGATGGTGTTGATCTTCTTCTGCGGGGGTGGTGTTTTATCCTCTTTGACGTCATAGTTCCCCACTTTGAAATAGTCATTTGCTGAGGCTGGTGTCAATAAAAGCTTTGATTGGACTAACAAGGACGTTTTCAGTTCTGAAACTTACAGGATATTCTTATAACCACTTAGATGTCAAGAGCTCAAGGAAAATTTGATTTCTCAGTTCATCACCCCTTTAAGGTCTGCTTTTCTGATGTATCAAATACTTTGTCATGAAATAAAATGTAAATGAATTACTCAAAAATCCTACAATGTGATTTTCAGGATTTTTGTTTTAGATTCCGTCACTCACAGTTGAAGATTACCTATGATAAAAATTACAGACTTCTAAATGCTTTGTAAGTGAGAAAACCTGCAAAATTGTCACTGTATCAAATACTTGTTCTTCCTACTGTATTTAATGAAAATGCATTGTGATTGATCATGAGATCAATCACAATAAGAAAACCAAGTTTCTGTATGGCTTCCAAGTTTTTCAAAGCAATAAATGAGCCTACAGAAGATTCATTTGGGTTTGAAACGACATAATGTTGAGGAAGAAATTACGTTTTTATTACGGTCACATCAGTGTTCAAAGTCCAAAAGTATCAAAATACACTCACCTCCGCCATTTTTGTAGCAGAGGTACGGGAACCGCCAAACGTTCCCTAAACCAACGAAGCCCCCGGCGACTGACAGAAGAAAGTCAAGCTTGCTAGCCCACTTTTCCCTTTGAGGGTGTTTTCCCTCGGCTTCGTCCTCCGGCCTTGTGCCTGGGCTCTTTCCTGGAGAGGGTTTCAGAATATCTTTGTGGAAGTCCTTCAGACACTGGAGTTTCTCCTTTTGAGCCATGCTAACGGAGAAGAAAACAAAAGGTCAAAACTCCAAAAGACCTTAGATTCAGACATAAAAAAGATATCATTTTTCAACTGTTCTAAAACTTTTATAATTAGGGCATAAATAGTTCATTTAAAACAGCAGCTATGGCAGACGTGAAAAATGTTCCCAGGAGATGTGTTGTGATGGTTAAAGTGATTAAATTAATGGCTGTTTTGTGTGGTTTGAACACAGGAAAATGTCATGTACGAAAAAACTGCAAGCCACTTTTTAGATTGCATCATGATACCAGGCACAATAACCTAACTACGACCAATACTACAATAAACCTACTTGTGAAACTGATAAGATTAGTTGATATCTTTGTTGCTAGCGAAGTGTGTCTGTCGTCAACAAAAAATTATGCCAAGAGATAATCACATATAGCTGACTTGTAGGAAAACACGTCAGCACCTTACACCAACTAGTTTACAGTCAGCATGAAATCAAAATGGTCTTGTTATGCATGATCGGTGCACAAAAACTAGAGACGCACGATATGTCGGCCAGCATATCGGTATCGGCCAATATATGAAGAGTTCAGATGCAAAAGCCTCTAAGTGCCATTTGAAATTTTCTTCTAGAATGATCATTTTTATCAAGCTTGTATATTTAAGTTCAGTAATTTCACTTAAATGGCAATGAAGATTACCTATTAATTGTTATTTAAGTGAGATCACTAAACTTAAATATACAAGCTTGATAAAAATGATCATTTCAGAAGAAAATTTCAAATGGCATTTAGAGGCTTTTGCATCTGAACTCTTCATATGTTCATTTTTAATGTAATCATTATCGGCCTGGTAAGAAAATGTGGCCGATATATATTAAAGCCGATAAATAATGTATTATTCCCTTCAGCTGAGACACTTGTTGAGCACCGTTTATGTTTTTGAATTTCTTGAAATATGATTGAAATCTCTTCAAAAAATGAAAATACGGTTCGGTACAACCGTATTGTGCAGCGCAAATCTGTCATATCGGCTATACAACACTATAACACGGACATGGATTTAATTGTGAGACTTTTGTTTTTGTAATCAGGCTCTCAAAATTAGATACAAATTTGGACTTAAGTTTATCGGCCGATATCGGTTATCGGCTTTCAAATTTAAAGAATTATCGGTTATCGGTATCGGCCAAAATGTTCATATCAGTGCATCCCTACTAAAAACCCATTTATACAACATATTCATTCAGTCCAAGTAAAATCATCTCTTTTTTATTTATTTATACTTGATCTTACTGGAAAAACAAGTTTTTTGCCCTTTAGAGAGCACTTTAGAAGCCAATCTGATGAATAAAATACCAGTTTTAATCAAAATATGGCACACAAGGAAACCCAGATGGAATTAGGCACATCAATTAAAGCCGATTTAATAAAAAACGACTTAATTCATTCACCACTTTTTTGCTGTAGAACTGGAATGTGTGTATCCTTCCCTTATCCTTTAACTAACACAGTGTTTACACTGTCAAGATTCTATTCAAGGATGGAGTAATTATGTCAGGCTTGGCGTCTTCTGTTTCAAAGCATGCGCCAAACTTGCCATGGAGCCTCTAAGATGAATCCCAGAGAGTCAGATACCAAAATCAGCTCCAACATCCCAAACTCCCTTAACAGCCTGGCAACGCTTGAACAAACTATAGCCCCACTGTGAGGCCGATTCCTTCAACAGAAACCTGCCTTTTCCCCTTCTCTCAAGGAGACAGAAGAAGAGGGGGAAGAATCCATGGTGTGTTTGACAATCAAATTCAAGTCCATTCTCCTTGCCGTTGCTTTACTAAACATACGACTGAATAAACATGCGAACTAGCCTGAAGTGTGGCGGCATGCCAGGACTAACAGTTCAATGACATTTTAATGCCGTTTTGAAATGTCAAGTTTATTTAAATTGATCTTCTGAGGTTTGTTAAGGTCTAGCCTAATGCTTTAAAAGAATCTGGTTATTTTTGACAACACTAAACTGATGCCGACACAATCATTCACTTGGCGACAAGACTATGAAAGTGCCTAAAAAGGTCTAAAAAGCTCAAGAAATTACGATCATCCCCTTGAGATAGGTTAAATCTGTTTATTTCAAAGGCTTAGGATCACGCAACAACCCAAACACATTCTGTTACATAACTAGAGTGAAATCCTCCAGACACTTTCCATTTCCATTCAAAACACTGGTGACCAGATTTACTGGCCGAGAGTCAAAGCAAGCAAACTACTGGGTTAAAAAACACTGTTGAACTGATTCAAACTGCTATTTCCCGCTATTTTGCCCATGAGTGAACGGCAATAATTGAACACAAATCAGTTGTAGAAACTTCTCTAGACATGACAAACACCAACAAGTTTCTCAGTTTCCACAAACCCAAACGTTCCCTCAATTCATGTACTTCCTTTCACTTACATTTCCTTCATGGCTGAATCCAATTGGTCAATGTTGTTCTCTCAGCAGACACCATACCTCTGACCACACAGCCCAAATCTCTCCAGGGCTCAGCGTAAGCCGAGGTGACACCACGGCCCGCCCACAGGCTAAGACAATTAAAAGCAATCAGCAGATTGGTCGCAGTTTCGGGGCAGCGGATAACCCGAGTGACGGCCAGCTCGATGGTAAATTTCCACTCCCTAGAAGCGTCAGAGTTCTACCTGAAACTATTTATCTCTGCATGCGCGGCGTCCACTTGTGGCAACCCGAGCCGCAGACACGCCAAACAAGAGCATGCGGACGGCAATCCACACCTCTGTCGCGTTTCACTTGAACAGCTGATGGTTTCCCGGCTGTTGTCATGCCTCATGCCATTAATAGCTTTTCCTTTCGAGACAAGTGGCTTAGCTAAACATACTTTGACATGTAGTCAAAGGACTCAAAGTGTAATTATGGCCTTTTTGTAAACTGGTTTGAACGCAGAGCCCGGTTTCTGACTCACTGACAAATCAGACTCTGGTCAGTAGGAATCAAACTCAAGGCCCAGTGCATTTGCATAGGACTAAATGTGGTAACAAAAGGCTATTGTATGACTTGTTTCCCTCCGCCTTTGTCATTTGGCAAAGCAGCCCTGATAAAGGGACAATGGCGATTTGTGCTCATAGGACCATTTAAATGAATTTTGGATCTGCCAATTTGTTCAAAAAAAAAAAAAGGATCAGCTGGTATTTTTAGCCCTTTTAACACACAATGTTGGGATGGTGTGAAGATTGTGACACATGGCAGCGTTCTTTGGGACACTGACTGCTGGGTCGGTTTGATTCCCAAATAGACTTGAATTGCCCAGAGCTGGTCGAGAATCTCAAGATTTACTTCAGAGGAAGAAGTAGTTCTCCGAAATAAGCAATCAATAACCTCCAAGAAGCACCAAATTGGAAGTGATTTGTTCTTCCGCATCTATAGGTCTTGTAGCCTGCGGACATTAAGGATATGTAGGGCCATCAAATGCAATGCATCATCCCAGCTGAGATGCAGGAACGGCAGGAGAGCTCCATAGTCCTGACGGTCTAGAGTCGGCACGAGGCACTTGACTCATTACGTAACATCCCTATTTTAGAACCATGTACATTTCCCAGAGTGCTTTCACATTAAATGCCTTCCTTTCCGCACTCGTTCTACCACATAAACTGAGTCCAGTGCATTAGAAGCACACTCTTAGACATTTATGTAAACCTCACAATGTAGCAATGATGCATGAAACTGAAGTCATAAACACTAAAGTCATTTGTTGACAGCCGGGTTTGAACCACTTGAACTTGTACGTGATCTATGACGTGATGCATTGTGTTCTCATGCGCTGCCTAGTCTTAGTACTGAATCATGGTCCCACTATGGTCCTGTAAAACAGAAGTTTTTTTATCTGTCTGTACCTTCCTAAAATATAGTGGCCGCAATATTATTTTCATATATAATTTGTATGGTATTTTTTTATACATTTTTATGGTCTCATGTAGCTCCAGTAAATTATTAAAATATTATTTGGATAATATTTACATTGTATTAGGATGACATTGTGTTTATTTTTATCATTACTACCAATTCATATTACTGCAATATCAATGTTATAAATATAATAACTGTGATTATTTCATTATTTCTGGAATCAGATTTAAAGGTTTAAAAATATATATTGCAGTGTAGGCTATATTTTAAAGGAGTAGTTCACTTTTTTTTAAAAAACTTTTGCTGATAATTTACTCACCCCCATGTCATCCAAGATGTCCATGTCTTTCTTTCTTCAGTCGAAAAGAAATTAAGGTTTTTGATGAAAACATTCCAGGATTTTCTCCATATAATGGACTTCATTGGGAACCAAACGGTTCAAGGTCCAAATCAATGCAGCTTCAAAGGGCTTTAAACGATTCCAGACGATGAATAAGGGTCTTATCTAGGGAAACGTTCAGAAGTTTTATAAGCACAAATGCGATGAGCGCTCGTGACTCCTGTTCGAACTTGTTCATCAAAATGAATGAATCTTTTTTCGAGTCATGACTCGAAGGGTCCTATAAGACCCTTATTCATCGTCTGGTGTCGTTTAAAGCCGTTTGAAGCTGTATTGAAACTATCATTTGGACCTTGAACCGTTTGGTTCCCAATGAAATACATTATATGGAGAAAAATCTGGAATGTTTTCATCAAAAACCTTAATTTCTTTTCGACTGAAGAAAGAAAGACATGGACATCTTGAATGACATGGGGGTGAGTAAATTATCAGCAAACATATTTTTTTTTTAAATAGTTAACTACTCCTTTAAGTTGACAAGATAACTTGACACTTGATTTATTTATAATTTATTTTTAAACTCCCTTGCTGTCCCATTTGACTAAAAATCAAGACCAGTGAATAACGGATCATTATGTGGTTTATGATAAATGAGAAAAGACAAAAGTAATGTTGTCAACTCTTGGAGATAATAATTCAGTTATGCACTAGTATCAGGGAACAACCTTATTTAATAGTTAAACACAGTTGGCTCTTTATTGTTACCAAGTATGGCCGAACTGGACCTTGGAGTAATGACATGTATCGTTACTATACAAAGAAGTAGAATTTATTATCATAAATATTACTGGGCTCAGAATGGCTTTTAATTTGCCCTGTATTCAAAACACCAAAGCCATAATTTATCCGCAGGAGGTTTATATGCAATAACTCAAGTCGATTGGTCAAACTTGTCAGTATACTGTAGCAAGACCAGATCAGATTCCTGTCATTCGTCTTCAGTTTCCAGTTTCCACCAAGAACTTTTACCCCTGTGTATTTACAACTTGCTTGCTCAAGAGGAATATTTGTCGCCTGACCAAAACAACAAGTGGCAAGCCAAAGACAATAAAAAAATTCCAATAAATGCACAGAGAATGAAGCTGGCGTACATTAATGCGGCACTGAGATGCATATTTATGAAGGGTGCAGTGACTGTTGCATGTATAAAAAAAAAGAAAGTTCTGTGATTGATGTTTTAATGGGTTGAACGGGGTCAATGAACAGTGTAGCATTTATAATCTGTGCTGTTTTTTGGGGATTGCATAGTTCAGTCTTCTCGATGTGAAATTAGCCTCAAAATCTATTATATGAAGAGTTCAGATGCAAAAGCCTCTAAGTGCCATTTGAAATTTTCTTCTAAAATGATCATTTTTATCAAGCTTGTATATTTAAGTTCAGTAATTTCACTTAAATGGCAATGATAATTACCTATTAATTGTCATTTAAGTGAAATTACTGAACTTAAGTATACAAGCTTGATAAAAATCATCATTAAAGAAGAAAATTTCGAATGGCATTTAGAGGCTTTTGCATCTGAACTCTTCATATATATATATATATATATATATATATATATATATATATATATATATATATATATATATATACAGAAACATCCAGATCAAAAAAAAAAAAAAAAAAATGCTGAAAGAGTTCAAAGTCTAAAGTGGTCGCCTAAATGGCCAGAGGCGTTCGCTGGCGGTTGTGAAACAGAGCTGCCTTTGTTAACACGTCTGACTTCTTTTATTGACATCAATTAAAAAGTAGCCGATAGGCTCAAATTTGCGGTCCTCTTTTATGACCCTCCAAGTCAGACACAGCTAACACATTCAATAACGAAACTGTTCTCATCCTGGCTAAGAAAATAGCATCTGTCACTGAATGCAAACTGTCTGCTATACCCTTATCAGTGTGCTAGGTATGCAAGCTGGCATGTGCACGGAAACCTAAACTCTGTATCCTGTATTGTGTTTGTTTGACTGCTAGTGAACTGCCTGACTTCCGCGTAATCCTAAATAGGCTACTAGATGAGGTGAACCTGTCTGCTAGAGTTCTCTACACTATTGCACCGCAAGTTCATCTCCGTTAGGATCATTTCATTTGACCGTTGCTTAGCATTGCTTTAATAATATGGCGTGGGAAGTTAAGCAACCATGTTTTATCATTCACAGAGAAGCATTCACAGTGAATGCAGGTGTTTTTATAAGCTTAACTGGGAATATTTGTTTTTTATTTAACATTTTTTATGGCAAGACTCTGACAACATTCTGAGACGTGCCTCAATAGTCTATCTAGCGCGTTTACGTGGAAAAAAAGAGGAACAAACATCATAAACATTTTTTTTAATGTAACGCTTACTTAAAAGGTTTTTAAAAGAATAGTTCACCCAAAAAATGTTTATTTTGTCATGTATGCATTTCGTTCTTTGGTTGAACACGAAAGAAGATATTTTGAAGAATGTTGGTAACTAAACAGTTGATGGCACCCATTGACTTCCATAGTAGGAAAAGAAAATACTATGGAAGTCAATGGGTGCCATCAAATGTCTGGTTACCAACATTCTTCAAAATATCTTCTTTTCTGTTCAGCAGAAGAAAGAAACTCACACAGGTTTGGAACGACATGAGGGAGAGTTACCGATGACAGAATTTTCATTTTTGGGGAACTGTCCCTTTAAATTCGCATTATGATAGGCTACTTTCTAGTTCTATTTCGTTTCGCTTTCGAGCGCGTCCTTTTGTCGCGAACCAACATCCTATAACTTTGACGAGTCGCGTCCGTATAACAAACTTTTTAAACAAATTCGCGTTTTTCTTAAGAAATCATCCAACAGGTTGTTGCCGCGCGCATCTCAACCACAACCACGAGGCAGAATCTAGAACCGCATCTTTGTTTGTGTGAGAAAAACGTTTATTTATAACGTATAATAGGTTTGTAATATCCCTGTGTGTTTTTAAACCCACAGGGATACAGGTTTTCAACGAGACACATTAAACTGTCTATTCTTAACTCTATGCAGTCAGCAGTCAGTTATATTTGTCTGGAGTGGGAGTGAAAGAAACTCAGTGACAGTTACAGCATCAACACAATTGATTCAGCAGTAGATGGCTTTTAAATCATTATAAATCATAAAAAACGGAACAATTACCTATTATATTGTCTAAATTATTTCAGTATAATAATATAAATTATATAAGTATAATAATAATGACTGTATTTTGTAAAAGAAAAACGTCCAAATGTGATTTTTTAAAATTATAACACGAGACAGAATCTTCTGTTAAACTAACGTTACTTCCTGGATCCCTTGTCAAAGTCTTTCCATCATGTAGCCCATGACAACTAAAACAAGAGATTTATTTTTATTAAAAGTAATGTTTGAAAAAAAGATCAGCAAAATATAAAAATAAAATAAAACCGTTTGCCGTCTTGCATCACTGTACATTAGACTACCACAAGCAGCTAGAGGAGGAAAATAGCCTTACCTTTATTGTTTATTTCCTTTAATTCCTTTGAAACTGTCTTGTCCCTTCTGTATTGTGCGGCGACTGACTGCTGAATAACAGCGGCAGCGGTAAATTTAGTTTATGAGCTTTTTTTCCTGACCTTTGTCTCTCAACATGGGTGACCATTAGACATCAGTTGTGGAAAAACACCGGCCTGCCTCCCGTTCGCTGCAGCAGAGCGTCTTCTTAAAGCGCCCGCTTCCTGTGTTGACAAAACCGCGCGGCCAACCAACATCAGCGCCGCGGCTCCTCGCGCTCAACAGCGCCGCCACTGGCCGCCATGCGAACTGACACTGCACTACACTACTGGCTGTGTGCATATCACGGATATACAGTACAGGTCAAAAGTTTGGAAACATTGCTATTTTTAGTGTTTCTGAAAGAAATCTCTTATGCTCATCGAGCCTGCATAATATGGCAAGAAATAGTATTATCATTATAAATTATGGATTTCTTTTTAAATACACTTTAGAATATATTTTAAATAAATTCTATTTAAAATATATTTATTTATGTGGATTTTCAGCATTATTACATTATTACAGTTCAGTGTCACATGATCCATCAGAAATCATTATAATATGCAGATTTATTAGCAATGTTGGATATTTATGCATAATATGATATTTTGAATCATGATTATTTGATAAAAGAAAAAAAAGAACAGCATTTATTTAAAATGGAAATCTTTTATAATAATATACGCTAACTTTCAGAAGTTTAGGGTTAGTGTTTTTGTTCCCTTTTTCTTAAAAAAAAGAAAGTATTAATTAATTATTCAGAATTAATATCATTCTTTTAAACTTTTTATTCATCAATGAATCCTGAAAAAAGTATCACCGCTTCCAAAAAAAACTAAAACGTTTTTAGTGTTGGAAGTATTGGAAATATTAAGTTTCTGATCATAAATCAGCATATTAATGATTTCTGAAGGATCATGTGACACTGATGACTGGAGTACAGTGTAAAAACTGTGAAATCCACCATTAATGTGGTTCAGATAACATCATATTTTGAGTTTCTGTTGATTAAACCAATCTCCTTCATTTTATAAACTCAAATTTTTCATTTCATTGAACTAAATTAAGTAAACCAGGTAACTTACTTTTTTAAGTTAAACTAACAATAGTGTAACGACTGATGAACATTCAGCGTTGCATCGCATAAATACATTATAAAGTACATGATTTGTAATTACAACATTTTTTTCTTTTGTCAAATCAACTTAAATAATTTATGTTGTCAGATAACATAATATTTTAAGTTTCTGATGATTAAATCGATTTCCATTGTATTAACTAAATTTTTACATTTCAATGAACTTAAAATTTTAAGGCAACCAGGTTACTTCATTTTTTAAAGTTAAACCAATAATATATTTTAAATTGTATTAATATTTTACAATATTACCGTTTTTTGTTTTTTTTCCCTTTTTGTATTTTTGATCAAATAAATGCAGGCTCGATAATTAGGATAAGAGACTTCTTTTAAAAACCTTAAAAATAGTTATGTTTCCAAGCGTATCACCGATACACTGTATATTGTGTTTTGGTCATGTTCGTGATTTATGTTTGCAGAGTGATTCCTGTAGCTCATCTGGTAGAGCAATTCAACAGTTGTGTATACTTTAGCCGTGCGAGCTGCGTCTGCCAAATACACGAGTGACATCGATAGGTAAGGGGAACCATCACAGCACCTCGGGCATTTGGAGCCGGACAGCCTTCCCTGAACCTCACACAAGAACATCTTCTTAAAAAATATCAGCTGTCTGAATAAGTAGGCCATTGGTAACAGAAACCCTGAAGAGTCTCATTAAACCTGCAGTCAGATTCAGCCAGCTTATACATTTCAATATTTGATGAAAGGACTGTTACTTCTGTACACTGAAAAAAATATTGTTGGTTTAACTTAAAAAATTAAGTAACCTGGTTGCCTTTAATTTTAAGTTGATTGAACTGGAAAAATTGAGTTAATACAATGAAGGAGATTAATTTAATCATCAGAAACTCAAAATAATAAGTTATCTGAACTAAATAAATTATTTAAGTTGATTTGACAAAAGAAAAAATGTTGCGATAACAAATCTTTAAAATATTTTTAAGCTAAACCATTAATTTCTAATTATCCGAGGATGGATTCGGTAAATTGTAAACTACACTGTAAAAAAAAAATCTTTTCATGATTAGTAATCACAACATTTTTTAAATACATTAACTTCATCATCTTCATCAACTTCTAACTTCAAAATCATTTATTTAGTTCAGATAACAAATAATTTTGAGTTTCTGATGATTAAATCAATCTCCTTCATTGTATTAACTCACTTTTTCCAGTTCAATCAACTTAAATTTTTAAGGCAACCCAGGCTACTTAATTTTTTAAGTTAAACCAACAATATTTTTTTACAGTGTAGTAATTACAACATGTTTTCTTTTGTCAAATCAACTTAAATAATTTATTTAGTTCAGATAACATATAATTTTGAGTTTCTGATGATTAAATCATTCTCCTTCATTGTATTAACTCACTTTTTCCATTTCAATCAACTTAAAATTTTAAGGCAGGTTACTTACTTTAAGTTAAACCAACAATATTTTTATTTTTTTTACAGTGAAACTAACATTTGACATGATAAATCACACAATTGAGCTAAAATGCAGCTAGGCAAAGTGGTTTAAATTTTGTTTGTGTACATCTGCTTTTTCAGGGGGAAAAAACACTAATACAACCCTAAATTGACTGTAAACAACTCAACGTCTGGCTTGGTGTCCCGTCAGCGCGTCCTGCTGCGGTTGTTGTGATTATGGCCCATGTTTTGGCCCATGTTTACATCAGCTTGACTGAATTAAGATGCTACCCAGGCCGATATGCAGCATTACATTTGCTAAACAGCTTCTGGACTCTGACTAAAGTTTCTGTAATTTTCCACCACACCTCGCTTGCGCTTCACTTCTCTCATTTGATCACAAGATCACTCATTTCCCTTTCGAATCCCGTCACATCACATCGGCAGTCTTGCGCAGCCCATGGCCTCGGGCGATCAGAATCATCTGTCAATCACCTCGAGTGCTTCTGCTGCGGAGGGTTTTGTGTATTGCAGAAAAATGATCTTTGTGCATCCAAAAAAGAAGGCTATTTATTAATCTGCTGCTTATTGGAGTTGTACTTTTAGTGTGCGGATTTATTGTTATCTTTTTGTCCTGCACATGAGTCCAGTTTGGGTTTTGGATAAACCTTTTTTTGGAATATTACCAAAATTTCACATTAACAAAATTCTAACAGCAATTTATATCATAAATGTAGATTATTTTCCTCAAATCTGGCTAAACTGTTGTAAATTTAGAGAGTATTTGGCATTTTGTTTATTATTAGTATTATTTAGTTTATTATTGGCATTTTGTAATTTCATTACAAAATCGACTTTTGCTAACATTTGCTTTGTATAACTAAAAATGTATTAATAACCGCCACAATAACACAGATAGTAAAATATAAGGCCATATAATGATGTCCCTGTACAGTTTTTGGCCATATATTCTTAAAAAAAACTTATCAAAATCATAATTTTAAGTTTTCAGGAAATGCACATTCATTTTTATTTAAACTCAGTTAATCAGACAGTTTATGAATAGCATTACAGACAATTCAATGCAACAAGTTACCTTTTTTATTTATTTATTTATTTATTTATTACAAATAATTCAATGTGTTAATTTAAATTGACAAAAAAAAAACAAAAAAACTTATTAGATAAGTTACTTGGCCATGGTGATTTATGGTAAGATATGGTAAGATATTTTTTTGCGTAAATACTAGTTGCATGGAATTTTCCATAAAAACAATCTTATTTAAATTGTTGTGTGTTAGAATGTTTTTTAGAACATTTTATATATAGTTTTGATACATTCTATAGTTTTTAGACAAAAACTATAAAATCAACAACTATTTAAATAAGATTGCTTTTATGGAAAATTCCATACAACTATTTGCAAAAAAAAAAAAAAAAAAAAGAATAAATCACCAGGGTTAATATATTTTACAATCAACAAGAAAACGTGTTTTTACAGTAAACTTTTATTTTATTTTATTTTATTTCACAAATAGTTGCATGGAATTTTCCATAAAAACAATCTTATTTAAATTGTTGTGTGTAAGAATGTTTTTTTTTTTTTTTTAGAACATTCTATATATAGTTTTGATACATTCTATAGTTTTTAGACAAAATCTATAAAATCAACAACTATTTAAATAAGATTGCTTTTATGGAAAATTTCATGCAACTATTTGAGAAAAAAAAAAGAATAAATCACCAGGGTTAACATATTTAATAATTAACAAGAAAACGTGTTTTTACTGTAAATTTTTTTTTTTTTTTTTTTTGCGTAAATAGTTGCATGGAATTTTTCATAAAAGCAATCTTATTTAAATTATTGTGTGTAAGAATGATTTTTTTAAAGAACATTCTATATATAGTTTTGATACATTCTATAGTTTTTAGACAAAATCTATAAAATCAACAACTATTTAAATAAGATTGCTTTCATGGAAAATTTCATGCAACTATTTGAGAAAAAAAAAAAGAATAAATCACCAGGGTTAATATCTTTTACAATCAACAAGAAAACGTGTTTTTACAGTAAACTTTTATTTTATTTTATTTTTTTGCACAAATAGTTGCATGGAATTTTCCATAAAAACAATCGTATTTAAATTGTTGTGTGTAAGAATGTTTTTTTAGAACATTCTATATATAGTTTTGATACATTCTATAGTTTTTAGAAAAAATCTATAAATTCAACAACTATTTAAATAAGATTGCTTTTATGGAAAAAAAAAAAAAGTTTACTGTAAAAACACGTTTTCTTGTTCAACATTATATATATATATATATATATATATATATATATATATATATAAAGTAAAAAAAAAAAACTTGTATTGTCCTATTAAATCTTAACATAAATCATACCTAATTAGCATACCTAACAACCTGTAGCATTTTTACATTCTCATTTTTACAGTGAAAATCTTGTACAGCAAGACTATCGTGTAGAAAGCGGATCTCCACAGAGCGCCAGTGTCTGAAACGTGTGAATGCTTGTCTGTTTGGCTATAAGCTGCTCAGTAGTTTTCCACTAGTCTACAAGGGAAGTTGAAAAGAGGAAGTCGAACGC